TTTTTTTGGCAAGACTAATTGAGAAAATTTATACCCCTGGAGGCCGTTCCACACCGCTTCAGAAAACAGTCCTGAACTACTTCTGTAAAGTCACTGGGCTCCAGATTACTGGTCAAAGAAGTCCAGTCAATTTGATTTAAAGTTAAAATCCCCCTACTATCACTATGTTATTGTGTCTATATTTGCCCAACTCAATTTTAAATTCTACCCAAGCAATAAGCTTTGATTATTCTATTTACTCATGTGCAAGTCCCACTCAAATCCAACCACTCTCACTCATGTATTTATCCAACCTAAATTTAAAACTACCCAAGGTTCTAGCCTCAATAACCCTACTAGGCAGACTGTTCCACTCATCAACTACCCTATTTCCAAACCAATACTTTCCTATATCCTTTCTAAATCTAAATTTGTCTGATTTGAATCCATTATTGTGGGTTCTCTCATGGAGAGATATCCCCAAGACCTTATTTATATCCCCTTTATTAATACCCATCTTCCACTTATACACTTCAATCATGTCTCCCCTCATTCTTCATCTTAAAAAACAGAAGATTTCTAATGCAATGAATTAATTTTATCATTCATCGCTGAATGTTTTCTAACAAATTTTAGAAGCAGTATTTTATTATATTCCCCTAACCCTCATGAATGTTGAGGGAGACCTGTACTTCATCCTCAAATTTGAGCTCTCTCAAGCTCACATTTTGTTCAAAAATGGTTTTAAATACTTGGTGTATAATAAATTTGAAATTGAAATACTTCTGTAATTATGATCATCAGGAACGTATAACGCTGAGCACCCAACCATACAAGCATTCTGGCAGGTTCTCCGAGGATTTGATGAAACTCAAAAACGACAACTTCTCAAATTTGTTACCAGTTGTTCTCATCCTCCTCTTCTGGGGTTTAAGGTAAGGTGTAATATAAATGATAATTTTTTTTATCAGGGTTTCACTATATTCCTGTCTTCAAAAATTTCAAAATATTTCATGACTAATTTCCTAACCCTTAACCCTTTGAGGGTCCGTCCCATAGTTCTACGCCATGAGCTCAGCTCACTCAGATAAGCTGTGAGCGGTAAATTTGGGCCTAGATATGAGCGAATGCATCTATGTGGTAAGTGTGCACCATATAAAACAAATCCTGCAGCATGCAGTGCAGCTTGTTCTAATAATCATGTATCCTTGATAATGTATGTTCTTTACTAGAGCAAGCAGATAAAAGTTTTCTTAGTTTTTAATTATACATTTATTTAATGAAAAGTGTTTAGTACAGTAATTCTGTTATCCAGTCTCCATGGGACCACAAAAACCTGTATTTGCACTCAGTGGGGCACTGCTAACCTCTAGTATATAGAATTTTACCTATTTGGATGAATCCTATTAAGCCTGTGTGGTTAGAACACTTGCCTGATAGTTTTAGGACTGGCTTTCAATGAGTTTGAGTCTCACCTATTACAATAGTGTTATTAGTGGCAAAGTCGTCCAGTTGTCTTCTACAATAGTGGATTTGGTCCGCTGATGCAGAAGACACTAATATAATATGAGTATTGTAACCAGTAGTACCACACTGCTTTTTCATTCAGAACTCAAGGAGGGTAAGTAATGAAAACTAACACTTGATTAACATTGATCAGTGGTTCCCCTATTACAAGACACACTGAAGGCAAATTTTTAGGGCTTTACCTTGACTGCCAACCTTAACCTTTGACTGTCGCGGCCGTATATATACGTTTTACTAGGTGCCGTGTTTGACGTATATATACTCATAAATTCTAGCGGCTTCAAATCAAGCAGGAGAAAGCTGGTAGGCCCACATGTGAGAGAATGGGTCTGTGTGGTCAGTGTGCACCATATAAAAAAAATCCTGGAGCACGCAGTGCATAATGAGAAAAAAAAAAACTCCGACCGTTTTTTTTTAATTAAAATGCCGACTTTGTGGTCTATTTTCATATAGTATTTATGGTTGTATTCTCGTTTTTCTTGGTCTCATTTGATAGAATGGAAAACATATTACAGAAATAGAGGTGTTTTTGATTGATTTTACTATAAAAAGAACCTAGAAATGGAGCTCAAAGTAGGGGAAATGTTTGATTTTTGCCAATGTTCAAAAGTAAACAAATGATGCCATTGTCCAATAAATGTCCAACTAGCCATTCTAATATGCAGTCATGAATGGGTTGATGTTATTTATACAGTTATTACAGCATTGCAGTAGTCTGCATAATAGTAAGTCTAATATTTTTTGTTTGAATAAAAATTCAAAATAGAAATCAAGAGTAATATCAGAGGGGCCTGGAGACGTGACTGATGAACAAAGAAAATGTTATTTTAGAGCCTGGAATGTCTGCATTGTTCATTCTGGACCTTATTTTGAAATTGTCATATTTTTTAGTTTTCGTGAAATTGGCCAAATTGCAAATTTCTGACCACATTATTAGGTAGTGAAATCAGTAAAAAGGGTAGTTTCTTGTACTCAATCGATAGAAAAAATGAAGTTCTAAAGAAATAGCTATGAGTTGGGCGACTGGAACAATGGAATTAGCCGAAAATAGGGCTCAAGTGGGCGAAATCGCCGATTTGTAACAGCGCCGAGGTCGCTAACTTCGCGAGAGCATAATTCCGTCGTTTTCCATCAAATTTCGTTTTTTTGGTGTCATTACAATCGGGAAAAGATTCTCTATCATTTCATAAGAAATTTTTTTTTTTTTTTTTTAAATTTTGCGACACCGGAGACACCTCAGGATTGGGGGTTGCGACAGTCAAAGGGTTAAATTTCAGACCCCACATCCTACATATAGCCAAGAAGGTCTCCAGAACAGCAGGCATCCTTTCCAAAATACAGTACTATCTACCCCAGTGGTACTACTTACACTATACCACTCTCTAATCTACCCTTACCTCACGTATGGTATTTGTCCTTGGGGGTCTACTACAACCAATCACCTTAAACCATTAATAACCCAGCAAAAAGCTGCTGTGCAGATGATCACCAGCTTCTGTGCCAAACAACACACCGCTTTGCTCTTCAAGAGTTTGAACTTAACCCATTCAGGGCCCAGAACCCCAATCTGAAACTTGTCCATGGGTTTTAAGAATATAATTTTTTTTTTTCTTATGATATGGTAAAGAATCTTTTTCTGAAGGTAATAAAACAAAAAATATGAAAGTTGATGAAAAATTGACGAAATTACGCTCTTGCAAATTTTGCTGCATCAGCGATATTTATGCATCGGCAATTTTTGCCCACTTTGACTCCCATTTTAGGCCAGTTACATAATTCCAGTCGTACAAGAATGGTATACAATACCGACAAGATGAAACTAATACACATATGCAAACATCTGGGTATCTTTATTGTAGACGTTTCGCCATCCAGTGGCTTTATCAATACAAATTCCAGGACATAACTTGAAGACAGTAGAACTATATACAGAAAATGAGGTAATCAGTCCCTCAACCTTGGAGTTGGTGCGAAGAGCACCGTAGTCGTGGAGATTCTGAAGCAGAAGCAAGAAGCCTGGCGCTTTTATACTCACGTCAGGTGGAAACGGGACGTATAGCAGACGAGGGCATAGTCACTGGTAGGCGGGATTCCCCAGTGGAAGTAGGTCCTACCCAAAGAGATGGGTTAGTTGTAGTAGTAGTTGTCGAAGTCGTGAAGGTTATGTACATGTCCTCAGAATCAAGACTCCATGATGTTGCAGTGTCTGACAAGTTGTACAAGAATGGTATACAATACCGACAAGATGAAACTAAGACACTTATGCAACATATGTTGCATATGTGTCTTAGTTTCATCTTGTCGGTGTTGTATGTTGCATATGTGTCCTGGTTTCATCTTGTCGGTATTGTATACCATTCTTGTAAAAACTTGTCAGAACACTGCAACATCAGGGAGTCTTGATTCTGAGGACATGTTCATAACCTTCACGACTTTGACAACTACTACTACAACTAACCCATCTCTTTGGGTAGGACCTACTTCCACTGGGGAATCCCGCCTACCAGTGGCTATGCCCTCGTCTGCTACACGTCCCGTTTCCACCTGATGTTAGTATAAAAGCGCCAGGCTTCTTGCTTCTGCTTCAGAATCTACACGACTACGGTGCTCTTTGCACCAACCCCAAGGTTGAGGGACTGATTACCTTATTTTCTGTATATAGTTCTACTGTCTTCAAGTTATGTCCTGGAATTTGTATTAATAAAGCCACTGGATGGCAAAACGTTTACAATAAAAAAAACCCAGATGTTGCATATGTGTCTTAGTTTCATAATTCCAGTCGACCAAATTCTTAGCTATTTTGTTAGTTTTACTTCTGTTTTATCAATTGAGCACAAGAAATTACCCAGTCAACTGTTTCAACTACCCAATAAAGTGATAGGAAATTGGTAATTTGGCCAATTTCACACAAATTTCAAAATATTCCCAAATTTCAAAATAGGGTCCAGAATAAACAATGCAGGCATTCCTGGCACTAAAAATTACATTTCCTCTGTTTATTAGTTATGTTTCCAGACTTTACAAGTGAGTTCCATTAAATTTTTTTTATTCACATAATGAATTTTTATTCACACCAAAAAATAGAAGATTTACTGTTATGCAGTATTGCAGTAATTGTATAAATAATATCAGTGCATTTGTGAATGGACATTAGATCCACCAGCTGATGTGTATGGATGTGTGACATCATCTGTTTACCCTTGAACATTGGCAAAATCGAACATTTCTCCTATTTTGAGCTCAGTTTTAAGCCATTTTCAATACTAAAACCAATGAAAATTATCACTATTTTTGTAATATATCTTACATTCTATAAATGAGACCAAGAAACCTTGAATTCATTTGTAAAAAACATACGATAAAACACACGCAAAGTCACTGTTTTAATCCAAAAATACAGTCGCAGTTTTTTTCTCATGTGCTGCATGCTGCAGGATTTGTTTTATGTGGTGCACACGTATCATATAGATGTATTCTATTTATAACTAGGCCCAAATTACTGCTCACAGCTTATCTGAGTGAGCTGCACTCATGGCATAGAACTATGACTTGAACCCAGGCTTCAAAGCTGTAGAACTACGGGACAAACCCTCAAAGGGTTAATGTACAAAATATGCATTCATACTGCTGTGCCTATTATATATGTGTAGAACATGAAACTCCAATATAAACCCTCCTCTCGAAGTTCTTGATAGCTACAACAGAAACCACAGGCACAATACAAAGCACAAAACCTTTGACATCCCTCGTGTCCATCTTGCCCTGTACAAAAATGCAATTCACATAAAGGGCCCTAAGATCTGGAATTCATTGCCCTAACCACCAAAAGGTCACCTGTCTGCCAATCAGTTTAGGGCTATAATTAAAAATCACCCCATCTCTCAGACTTAAATATCAACTCTACTGTGTCTGAAATCGTAGAAACAGTCTGAAACTTTTCAGGAAATCCCATTAATTTAAGAACACTGAATCAATTTAAGTATCAATACACACTTAAAACTGTACTACAGTAGAACCCCCAAAGCCATGGCTTAGGTTTCTTGTGGTTTAAGTTATCTGCGGTTTGCCGTGGCTCGAAAATAAGCCTCAGTATTGCTTATAATGACACCGAAGCACTAAAGTAGTGGTGATGGCAGTTCTTCAAAGACTAGGGGAAGCCTTGAAGTGTTTCCCATCAGTGAAAAGTGATAATTCTTGACTTACTGTGTGTAATTTGTGAAACTTTGTCATAGGTATGTATGTAAACAAAAAAAAGAGATGTATATATAGAGTTTACTACTATCCACGGTTTCAGGTATCCATGGTAAGTCTTGGAACATATTCCCAGCAGATACAGGGATACTACTGTATTGTACTATTGTAAATTGTATTAACCCTTTGAAGGTCGCCAGGCCCTCTCAGAGACTTG